CCAGGGACAGTGTCCCAGTGTCCCCAATTTCCCCAACATGGCCATGCCCCTTCCACCACCCTGCCAGCACCATCGGTCACCCCCTGCGCCTGTCCCCATCCCTTGGGGACACGATGGGGACACCGGGACATGATGGGAACGCTGGGGACACAATGGGGACACTGGGGACACGATGGGGACACCAGGAACACGATGGGGACACTGGGGACACAATGGGGACACGATGGGGACACCGGGGACACGATGGGGACACCGGGGACACAATTGGGACACTGGGGACAGGATGGGGACACTGGGAACATAATGGGGACACCGGGAACACGATAGGGACACTGGGGACAGGATGGGGACACAATGGGGACACTGGGGACAGGATGGGGACACTGGGAACATAATGGGGACACTGGGAACACGATAGGGACACTGGGGACAGGATGGGGACAGGATGGGGACACTGGGGACAGGATGGGGACACTGGGAACATAATGGGGACACCGCGGACACGATGGGGACACCAGGGACACTGGGACATGATGGGGACACCGGGAACATAATGGAGACACGATGGGGACACGATGGGGACACGATGGGGACACGATGGGGACACCGAGGACACGATGGGGACACTGGGGACACTGGGACTTGATGGGGACACCAGGACACGATGGGGACACTGGGGACACGATGGGGACAAAATGGGGACACAATGGGGACACCGGGGACAGGATGGGGACACCGGGGACACAATGGGGACATGATGGGGACACCAGGGACACTGGGACATGATGGGGACACCGGGGACACAATGGGGACACTGGGGACAGGATGGGGACACCGGGGACACGATGGGGACACCGGGGACACGATGGGGACACTGGGGACAGGATGGGGACACCGGGGACACAATGGGGACACCGAGGACACGATGGGGACACATGGGACACCGGGACTTGATGGGGACACCAGGACACGATGGGGACACCCCTTGTCCCTCCGCAGGTGCTGGGGACCATCCTGGGCCTGGCCGTCACCGTCATGGCCATCGCCGCGCTGGGCTGGTGGCTGCGCCTCAAGAGTGAGTGCCACCCTCGGGGGACACGGGGAGGTGACGGCAGCGTCCCCTCACCGTGTCCCCTCCGCGTCCCCAGAGGTGCCGGCGCAGGAGCCGCCGCGCTACCGCTTCCGCAAGCGGGACAAGGTCCTGTTCTACAGCCGCAAGATCATGCGGAAGGTGACCCTCGGGGCTGGCACGGCGCCGGTGGCACCGCGCGGTGCCAGCCCCGGTGACGCCCCGGTCCCCTCCCGCCGCGCCAGGTGTCCCAGTCCACGTCCTCGCTGGTGGACGCCGGCACGGCCGGCGGCGCCGCGCGGCCCCGCAGCCGCAAGAAGCTGAAGGTGCTGAGCATCGCCAAGAAGTGAGCGGGATTCGGGATTCAGCGGGATTCATCGGGATTTGGGATTCAAAAGTCATCGGGATTTGGGATT